CAGCAGGCTCCAGGACTGCCTGTTACTTGTGCTTTGCTCCGCTGGCTCATCGCTTTCCTCGCTGGCCGGCCTCTGTGCTCCCTGCTGATGGAATGAAGTGACGCCGAGTGCCGCGGGCTCCCACTTCTCCCCTCCTTCCTCCACCCCTGTCCACGTCCCCTGCCCTTCTCCCGGTGGGGGATTCCAGCGTCAGTTCCTTCACTCACCCTTGGGGCTGTACAGGTGTGAGGCAGCGTGACGACTACCCATCATGCTCTTCTTTCTCTTGCACCATCAATCTTTGCTTCTCTGCTAGATCATTCCTAAGGGTACAGAAATCAAACTTGACTTTATTCCCCGATCTTTAAAAGATGTCTTTGTTGTCCTCTCTCCTCTTTACTCTTTGGGTCCTTCCAGTCAGGCTCTTGCTGCTGTTGTCCCACGGTGACTTCCCTGCTCAAGGTCAGCAGTGACCTTTGTGTGCTAAAACCCAGTGGTCAGTTTTTAAAGACGGCTTTGAGACACAAACCACATACCACACAGTTCACCAGTTGTACAGGTCAGTGGTTTTAGTGTAGAGCTGTGCAGCCATTACCATAAACCCCGAAAGAAATCTGTACCCGTGTGCACTTCCTCTTCCCGTCAGCGCTCCGCCATAGCTCAGGCCCCGCCGCCAGAGCCCCAGGGGCCTGCTTCAAGCCCACGGCAGCGTGTGAGGAGTTGGTCAGCCTTCCCTGGAAACCTCCCGTCATTCTGGGGCCCGCTTTCACCTCACTGCTTTTCATCCTCCTGACTCCTCTTTCTCCCAAACTCTGAACTTGGAGTACTGCAAGGTTCATTTCTGGATCCTTCTCTACACTTAGTCTCTCGGCCATCCCATTCAGTTTACATGCTGATAGAACCCAAAATATTTTTAGCCCACCTCCTAGGAACACCAGATTCCAACAACCTATTTGACTCAGCTATGTGGGTGTGTCTAATAAGCACCTTAGTTTTTATATGTTCAAAACTTAACAACCTTTCCCTCAAATCCTTACCCTCCTAATGCTTCCCATGTCCTAAGTGGCTGCTCTCAACCTTGTTGCATGAGAATCTTGGTATCGTCCTTCCCTCTGTCATTCCAGTATCCAATCTGTCAGCTAACCTTTTTTTTTTTTTATGGTGAGAGCAACCGTGCACAAACTGGGTGGGGTGGGGGAGTGGTGGGGGGTGGGGGGAGAGGGGGAGAGAGAGAGAGAGAGAGAGAGAGAGAGGGAAAGAGAGAGAGAGAAAGAGGAGAGAATCCCAAGCAGGCCCCACACTGAGTGTGGCTTGATCCCATGACCCTGGAAGCATGACCTGAGCTGAAATCAAGAGTCAGATGCTCAAATGACTAAGCACCCAGGTGGCCCCCAACAGCAAATCTTATGCACCATTCAAAAACTGACCCCTTCTTGGAGCGCCTGGGTGACTCAGTCTGTTAAGCGTCCAACTTTGGCTCAGGTCATGATCTCACAGTTTGTGAGTTCAAGCACCACGTCAGGCTCTGTTGCTGACAACAAGAAGGCCTGGAGCCTTCTTTGGATTCTGTGTGTCCCTCTCTCTCTGCCCCTCCCCTGCTTGTGTTCTCTCTTTCAAAAATAAATAAAACATTAAAAAAAAAAGACCATAAAACACAAAAATTGACCCCTTCTCAGTGCCTTCACTGTGAACACTCTAGCCTGTGACACCAGCCTCACTCAAATGGACAACTGTGAACTCCTGGAGCATCTTGCTGCTTTTACCCTTCCCTTTCTCTTGTCTGTTCTCCATTCAGCAGTGTAACTGATCCTTTTGTTTATTTTTTTGTTTTCTTTAAATATAATTTATTGTCAAGTTAGCTAACATACAGTGTATACTATGTACTCTTGGCTTCAGAAATAGATTCCTATGATTCATCGCTTCCATACAACACCCAGTGCTCATCCCAACAAGTGTCCTCTTCAATGCCCATCACCCACTTTCCCCTCTCCCCTACACCCCACCCTCATCGACCCTTGGTTTGTTCTCTGTGTTTAAGAGTCTCATGGTTTGCCTCCCTCCCTCTGTGTTTGAAACCGTGTTTTCCCTTCTCTTCCCTTCCCCCATGGTCTTCTGTTAAGTTTCTCAAATTCCACATAGGAGTGAAAACATATGATATGTCTTTCTCTGACTGATTTCACTCAGCATATTACCCCCCTCCTCCCTCCCCCGCCGATCCATCCATGCTGTTGCAAACGGCAAGATTTCATTCATTCTCGTTGTCAAGTAGTATTCCATTATATATATAAACCGGGTTTTCTTTATCCATTCATCAGTGATGGACATTTGGGCTCTTTTCATAATTTGGCTATTGTTGAAATCGCTGCTATAAACATTGGGGTACGTGTACCCCTGTATCCTTTGGCTAAATTCCTAGCAGAGCTATTGCTGGGATGTGGGGTAGTTCTATTTTTAATTTTTGAGGAAACTCCATACTGTTTTCCAGAGGGGCTGCACCAGTTTGCATTCCCACCAATAGTGCAAGAGGGTTCTCATTTCTCCACATCCTCACCAACATCTGTTGTTTACTGAGTTGTTAATTGTAGCCACTCTGAGGTGATATCTCAGTGTGGTTTTGATTGGTATCTCCCTGATGATGAGTGATGTTGAGCATCTTTCCATGTGTCTGTTGGCCATCTGGATGTCTTCTTTGGAAAAGTGTCTGTTCATGTCTTCTGACTATTTTTTCACTGGATTATTTGTTTTTTGGGTGTTGGGTTTGCTAAATTCTGGATATTAACCCTTTATCCAATATGTCATTTGCAAATATCTTCTCCCATTCTGTCGGTTGCCTTTAGGTTTTGTTTACTGTTTCCTTTGCTGTGCAGAAGTTTTTTTTATCTTGATGGGGTCCCAATAGCTCGTTTTTACTTTTATTTCCCTTGCCTTTGGAGACATGTCGAGTAAGAAATTGCTGTGGCTGAGGTCAAAGAGGTTGTTGCCTGTTTTCTCCTCTAGGGTTTTTGATGGTTTCCTGTCTCACATTCAGGTCCTTCATCCATTTTTGAGTTTATTTTTGTGTCGTGTAAGAAAGTGGTCCAAGTTCATTCTTCTGCATGTTGCTGTCTAGTTCTCCCAGCACCATTTGCTAAAGAGAGTGTCTTTTTTTTCCATTGGATACTCTTTCCTGCTTTGTCAAAGATTAATTGGCCATACATGTGTGGGTCCATTTCTGGGTTCTCTATTCTATTCCATTAGTCTATGTGTCTGTTTCTGTGTCAATACCATACCGTCTTGATGATTACAGCTTTGTAGTAGAGATTAAAGTCTGGAATTGTGATGCCTCCTGCTTTGGTTTTCTTTTACAACATTACTTTTGCAATTCAGGGTCTTTTGTGTGAGTGACCCTTTTAAAAGCTAACTCATGTTATATTTTGAAAGGTACTTAATTTCCAAATATTTAGAGATTCTCCACGTAAGTTTCTGTTACCGATTTCTAGTGCAGTTCTGTTTTGGTCAGAAATTATGCTTTGTATAATTTAAATCTTTTTAAGCTTACCAGAAGTCTTTTTGTGGCTTGGCTAATGGCTTTCTTTGGTGAGTGTTTTTGTGAGTGTTGGAAAAGTACGGCTGTAAGTAAAGTGTTCTATGTGTATCAGTCAGCTCAGGTTGCTTCCTAATGTTGATTCGAGTTTTCAGTATACTTACTGATTTTCTCTCTCCTATCACTTAGTGAGGAAGGAGTACTGAGATCTGTAATTTTGGATTTGCTATTTCTCCTTTTAGTTCTGTCCTCCTTACTTCATGAAATTTGAAGCTTTGTTGTCAGGTACATGCACATTTAAGATTGTTAGGTCCTCCTGACAAAGTGATCTTTTTTCATCATTATGAAATGTTCCTCTTTATCTCTGGTAATTATTCTTTGTCATGAAATCTACTTTGTGCGATAAAGCCACTCTGTTTTCTTTGATTTGTAGGACTATATCTTTTTCCATCTTTTTACTTTTCCATCTTTTTACCTTTAACCCGTGTCTTTATATCTAAGCTAGAGTTATTTTGTTTTTGGATTTTTTTGTTGTTCTTTATAGACAGCAAGCATACAGTGGGGGTCTTATTTTTTATGCAGTCTGCAAATCTTTGCCTTTTATTTGGAGTGTTTTAGATCAATTACATTTAGCATAATTATCAACATGGTTGAGTTTAAATCTACCATCTTTCTGGTGTTCAGTATGTCTTCTCTGTCTCTTGTTTCTTTTCTACTCTTTTACTCTCTCCTTTTTGTTTCACTGAGCACCTTTACTGGCTTATTGGTTGTGCCTCTTTAATTTTTTAGTGGTTACTATAGGAATATATATAGATATATATGTATATATATGTGTAAATGTGTGTGTGTATATATATATATTTAGTACCATATATATATATCCATGTATAAAACTACAATCTAGGGGCACCTGGTGGCTCAGTTGGTTGAGCATCCAATTCTTGATTTCGAGCCCCATGTCGGGCTCCATGCTGAGTGTGGAACCTGCTTAAGATTCTCTCTCTCTCCCTCTGCTCCTCTCCCCTGCTGGCACACATCATCCGTCTCTCAAAACAAAAACAGAAACAAACCCCATGGTCTACCTCATGTAGAATGTAAGACACTTACAATTGTATACTCCATTTCCTCTCCCTATTCTTTGTGTTGTTGTTGGCATACATTTTATTTTTACATATGCATAAATATTTTTGGTTTGAATTGTTTTCTTTTTAAGAGATGAAATGTGAGGGGAAAAGTCTCTTCTTTTACCAACACCTTTATCATTACCAGCACTCTTCATTTCTTTGTGTAGATCCCCATTTTGGTATTTTCGTTCTGTCTTTAGAATTTAAAATTTTCTTACAGTGAAGGTCTGCTGACAGTATATTCTGTCACTTTTGTCTGTACTTGTCTAAAAAGTACTTTTAATTCATGAGGGACATTTTCATTGGGTATTGAATTCTAGGTTGATAGTGTTTTAGTACCATCCTAGACACATTTTACATTGTTGAGTGCTGGATTTTTTTATTTATGGAAAAGTGTTTTCATTTTGGCATACAGTTACTTGGAATCGGTAGATCCTTTGGGGTCTTGCTTTTTTAAAGTGTGTTGGGACAGATCCAGGGCTAATGTGGCCCAGCACTGAGACAGTGCCTCCTAAGCATTCTGCTGAAGTGACACATTACTCCACTGAAGCACGCCAGACTTCAAGCTGCCCCTCTGCCATTCTGCCCCCACAGCGGCCCCCTGGGATCTGGGGAGGGACAGATGAGAGGGCAAAGTGGGCTTTAGCCTTCCTTGAGCTAACAGGATTGCCAACGCAGGCCTATTAGGGCCCCTGTATTTTTGAGGACCCCTGACTCCAGAATGGAGTATTGGTGGACACCCCACTGCAAGCAAAGCGTTAACAGGTTGAGAAGTTAGGAAGAGAAAAAAACGGAAGTTTGGTCATTGTGAGTTCATAATTCCCTTAGGGAAGAAATGAGGATTTCACTTGGTACCAGAGGAAGATCAGAGATGGTGATGTGTGGCAGAGCACTCACTGCTGGGAGGGTCCTGAGAGTTCCAAGGAGGGTGAGTCCAGGGAGGGAATCAGAGTCGAGTGCCAGGGACGGAGAACTGATTAGCTGGGCAGATGGGGATCGCCAGCTCCTGTACATGCCAGGAGCCCCGGGGGGACTTTGCTGAGGGAGAGTCCGCTTTGCCCCTTTGCTCATTCATCCTTCCCCTAGGATGCTGAGTTCTAAGCTGGAATACTGGCGGGACTGGAGGCTGGGGCGCCCTGCTGGAAGGAGGGTGCTAAGTGGCTGGCGTTAAGGTGGAGACTTGAGTGTGTGAGGCGCGTCATCAGCCTGTGGGCCCCTTGACTTAATGCTCTGCTCTTAGTTTGTTGTCTTGAAATTCTCAGCAACCTTCGAGCAAGGATACCGCATTTTCGCTTTGCGCTGGGCCCTGAGGGTTACGCACCTGGCTGAGAGATGGCTTGCAGGTCTGTCCTCCGCAAGTATGGGGAGGCGATCTCAACACCGATAAGGGAGGGCTTTGGCAAGAGTACAGGCCCTGCGGGAGCAGTAAAGGCCAGAGACAAGTCCAGACGCCCTGCAGCGTGGGGGTAAGAGAAAGCACGGAGGAGGCAAGGAGTGGAGACCACAGCTCCTGCTGTGAGGAGCAGGCAAGCCCGGGGAACTTCTGAGGCCGAGCGGTCTGTGGATCAGCTCTGGGCACCAGAGCCTCCCCTGGGCTCTGGAGACTGAGGTGGAAGCGGGTCCTTGGAGGTGGGAAGTGTCAGGGGAGAGATGGACGTGGCCAGGTGAGTGGTGGGTGTCACTTCGATAGTGCCTGGCCGAGGGAGGGGTGGGTGGCACACTGCCCCTGCCTCACCGTGGGGACGTTGAGGCTGAGGGGGCCTGCCCAAGGGCGCACCATGGGACCTGACCCCGGAGCCCACCCGGATGGGGCGAGTTGAGAAGGGCATTACCTTTGATCTTCCAGGACCCGAGAGCTGGGCAAAGCAGTGTTAAGGCCTTGTGCTAGAAGGTTCCACTTTAACCCACGCTAGAGCTTGGACATGACGTGTCTATGCATCTTGTTACCTTTCTAACACCTGAGAAATAACAAGTTCGGGGACACACCTGGTCCTGGGTGGGTGGGGTGCAGACCTGTAGGTGAGACCTGGATGGACAGCTTATCGCGCCTCGTGAGGTGACATCATTAGATTCGGGCCCGAGAGGGCTGCTCCCACGACGTTGCCCAAAGAATTCCAGCCGTTGGAAGCGTCCCGGGGCTGCAGAGCTAGTCTCGGACCCGCCGCCTGGGAGGACGCTGGGACCAGGGGGGCCCCCAGGACGCCCGTGGTCTGCGAGCCAACAGTGCCGTCAGCGTGTGCGTGCGGAAAGCGCGCAGGGCGACAACCCGCCTGGTGGACACGCGGTTTGGGCGCAAGCCGGCCACGTGGCCGCGTTGATCCAGGTTAATGCAGACCCCGGCCCGCGGCCTGCCTGCGGGTGAGGTGCCGCGGCGCTACTCCTGGCCGGCGCGCGGGCGGTGGCGGCGGGGTGCCCGGCAGGGCCCGGGGCAGGCAGGGCGCCCTCAGGCCCGGGACCGCCTGGCCCGCTAGCTCGCGCCCCCCTCCCCCCGAGTCTGGATTCAGCCGACCCCATCTGTGCCTGGCAACGCCGCGGTGGCTTCGGCCTTGGGCTCCGGGGCGGCTCGGAGGGGCGGAAGTTGCTTTAAGGCGGCTCAGCGGCCTCGTCAGGGCGGGGGCGGAAGTGGGTCCCCTTCCCGCTTTGGCGGCTGCGCAGAGGGAGGCCGGTGCCCGTGTGTATACCGGAGTCGCCCCCGGGGTACTCGGCCCTCCGCCGTCGCGTCCTGGTGGTGAAGGCGCTGTGAGGTGAGGATTCGGTGCCCGTCGGGGGCGGGGGACGGCCGCGGTGCCCTGTCCCCCGAGAGGGGCCGCAGCCCCGGACGTCCCCGTGCTGCCTGGGCCTCCGCACGCGCGGGCCGGGGTGGGGGGTGGGCACGAGGAAGGGGCCACGTGCTCTGGACACTTGGTGCCCGGTGTCTCCCTTCCCCAAGCCAGGTTCCCCAGCTCTAGCCGGTGCGGAGGAGGCCCCGTGTCTGCGGGCCGCGCGCCCGCAGCGTGATCTGGGCCAGGCGCTCAGGGAGGGCTTGGTACCGCGTTGCCTTGCGTCGGGTCATCCCTGCGGCCCCTGCCGGCTGTCCGGGGGCCCCCCAAGCCTCGGGGAGGAGGGAGGTCGACCGCTGCCGGCCTCCAGGGAGCTGGCGGGGCTCTGGTCCTGCACGCGGCTGCTCCCCTGCCCCAGGTCCTGGTCAGGCCCAGGGGCAACTTGGCCAGTGGGTGGGGAGGTTCCCCCCCCGCCCCCCCCGCCGGGACCATGGTGACGAGGCAGGGGGACAGGAGGCTGCCTCTTTCTCTCCCGGAGGGAAACAAGAAAGGCCCCCCCCCCTCACGTGGCTCTCAAAGCTCGGTGAGCGCGAGCCTCGTGGCGGGCACCCTCCAAGCTGCAGACTCTTGGGCCAGGCTGCGAGGCGGGACCGGGGCGTCCGCTGCGACAAGGTCCAGGTGACCGGTTCCCAGAGGGCCGCGAACACCGAGGAATTTGGGGCCCTGTGTTGCCGAGCGAGGCCCGCAGCCACGTGGCCCCGGCCCGGACTCGCCGCCCAGCCGGTTGCGGCCCCGGATGGCTTGCTGCACCCCCTACCTCGGACTCTTCCGGCAGCGTCCGCACCTTCCCGGCTGCCTGCTTCCCTCCTGCCAGGCCCGGGGGTTGTCTCCCCTCCTCTGAAGAGGCTGCGGCCCCTCTCCTGGTTGGGATGAAAGGGCGCTCCCAAGCTGAGGGACACAGCTGCCCCGGCACAGGGGACACGCCTTCCCTCCAGGCTCTGGTGGCTCCAGCCCGTGTCAGGTCCCCTTCTCTTCAGGCCACCTAAAGGTGGGTGTAGGGGACAAGGACTTGGCCCGGGGCACATGCCAGGTGCCATCCTTGCAGGCGGTGTGATTCTTGAAATAACTCAGGGGGAGGAGTCGGCCGCCCCGGCCTGGCCTCTCTTTCTGTAGCCTTCTGTCTTCTGTCCCCGGTTTCCTGCATGGTAAAGGGGGGGAGCTGCAGGGGTTAGGGGGGAGGAGCCAGCAGATGGCAGGCAGCTGGGCGAGGGCTGTGGTACCATCCTGGCCAATGCGGGCCTTCGTAGGGCTGTGGAGAGCTGGCTGTGCTGCTGCAGGAACCCTGCGTGCCTCAGTTTCCTCATTTGTGAAAGAACAATAGAGGGAAACTGAGGCCCACAGGATATATCAAGGGGGTCACTGAGCTCCCGGCCTCCAGCTCCATCTTACGACCGGGCGTCCCTAACCACTGGCTGCTCGCTTCCTCCCAGAAGCCACTAAGATAAAGATTTGTCCTTAAGCCTCAGCTTTTGAGCCGCTGGTAAATAGTGTGACAGTGTGGGCCTCAGGAAGGACAGGACTGTCCACGACCCGACGCGTTCTCCCCAAGGCTGCCTCCCAGGGGCTGGGCTCTCCAGCAGACACCCAGGCCCCATCATAGGGATACTCTGGGGTCTCTGGGGCGCCCACTAAATCTCAGGGCACAGAACCGGAGGCGATGCTGTTGTATGAGGGGAGTCAGGCTGAGCAGCAAACCGGGCCGGGGCCAAGCAGCGCCTGGATCAAGGCCCACTGACAAGCTGTGCGCTTAGGGACATTATCTCGGATCTCAGGGAGGCGAGCTGGGGGGAGCCGATGCCTTCCGTGGGGGGTGCTGTGCGGAGCTCCCCAGCAGGTTGGAGGCTCAGCCCCTGCCCCTTGCCTACCCAGCGAAGGCGGTGCTCGCCGCCAGGGCCCAGCCTCTCCCCGGGTGGCTGAGGCGCTTTTCCTGGGCCTGCCCAAGCAGCCACTCCACCACTTGAAAGCCAGTGGTGACCAGGCCTGGAGTCCAAACTCCGGTCTGGCCTTCTCTGCGTGACCGCGGTGCGAGCAGCCCCTCCGCCCACCGCTGAGACCTGCAGGGATGGACCCACAAGGCTCCGCAGCCCTTTCCTGCCTGTCCCAGCCTGCTCCTCCCCGGGGGGCCGCTGCGGGGTCCCTTCTGGGTGCTGTTCGGCTATGCACCCTTCGCGGCTGGGGCTGGCACCTCGAGTCCACGCGGTCAAGGTAGGGGCGTCTCCACTCCGGTCTGCTTTGTGGGACAGGCGGGCTGAGGACGCGAGAGCAGGGCTGTCTTGCAGCTGCAGCCCCCAGCGGTCCCCGTGAGAGCCGGGGCGCAGAGAGGGCGGCCCCCTCGGGTGTGGCCAGCAGGAGGCCTGGGGGGTGGGCGGGGACGGCGAGGACCCGTGGCCAGCAGTGTGGTGGTGGCCCGGAGGCAGAGGGGAGCCCAGAACCAGGACGCAGGCCCAGTTGGTGGGCAGGAGCGCTAAGGAAGACGGGGTGCGGGGTGCGGGCCGCAGTGAGTGGGGTCTGGAGGGGGCAGGGACCACCAGCCTCCCTCTGGACACCACCTGGCCGGCCCCACGCACCACCCCCCACCCCGTCCCCGGGGCCCCGGCAGAGGCGGGCTGTGTGTGTCCCATACCCCAGGGGTGCTGTGTCCCCCGTGCAGGCCTGGCTCAGCCCCGGTGACGCACTGCGCTTCTGCCGGGTCACGCTGCGGAAGGGCGGAGGGGGGTGCCTGGGAAAGACGGCGTCGGGTGCAGGGACCCCTGGGCGCTGCTTGGGCACCTCGCGTGCGAGGCGGGGAGGGCCAACCCGGAGAGGCCACCGCTCAGAGGTGGTTGTGCGCTCACGGGCGGGGAGGTGAGCTAACAGGCTTCACACCCCAGTGTGCTCGTGTGCCCGACCCCCATGGCCAGGACCCGCGGGAGACCCGGAGCTGGCCCCGGGGCCCCGTCTCCCCTTTCTCCGTCCCCAGCAAACACAGGCGCCCCGGCGGGACTGAGAGGAAGCTCCCGGAGGCCCCAGGCTCAGGACTGTAGTGGTGGCTGCTGATCGCTGCTGTTTCAAAGCACGGGCCTGTTCCCGAAAGCATTCATTAAGCATCGAACCACCACTGAATAACTGTGCCTTAGACCAAGCGGGGAGCAGGTCCATGCTGGCAGACTGGGTGGCCCGGCGGGACCAGCGGGGCAGCCCTGAGCGGCAGACGGGGGGAGTGAGGGCCCCCAGCACGCCGTGCCCAGCAGGATGGCTGCGCCGGCTCCACTTACGTGAAAGAGGGAACCAACGTGTGCCAGGCCCCCTGAGGGAGACAGGTCTAGAAGCTAGAAGGTCCTCAGCCCCTCTCAGCTCTTTCCCGAGTGGAAGGAAAGGCCCGTAGGTCTGTGGCGGCCTGGCTGTGAGGGACACCGACCCTGGCAGGGGCCGCTGGCTGCCCAGAGCTGGGCGATGGGCAGGGCAAGGAAGCCAGGCTCTGCCCTCCCAGGTGGTCCTCCTGGTTAGACCGCGGCAAGGGGAGCGGCCTGAGCTCGAGTCACCGTCTTCGTGCCTGAGAAAGAGGTGCGGGCAGCCACGGGCACAGGCGGGGGTGGATGGCACCCCTGGGCGGGGCCGCCTTCCGCAGGGGAGAGCCCATGCCAGGGTGCCGGGTGAAAGCATGAGCGTGAAGTCAGCCCCGGTGGCCTTGCCAGGTCCTGGGAGGGGACAGGCCCCAGGCTGTGGAAGTGACACACAGGTGCCCAGCCGCAGGCTGAGCCCCACTCCCCGCGCCCGCCTTTGTGGCTCCTGGAATGACGTGACCAGGGCTGGCTGCGGGAGGGGGGGGCATCCCAGTCCACGTACGGCAAGTAGGAGTCAAGAAAGGTACGGGTTGCCTTTAATAGCTCCGTTACTATGGTTTTTGGTGAGAAAGGGTCTGTTAACATAACTGCAAAATAGAACCGGGGAAGAAAAGAGGTATTTAGAGCCGTCCAGGTGCTGGAGACACTGCCTCGCGGCACACGCTCCCTCTCGATTGGGGCTCAGCAGGTGGCCCCTTCCGAGTGGCTCCATGGTGGCGTGGTAGGCACACACCTGACCTGCTGCCAGGGCCGCAGGTGTGACAGTGGCTGTGAGGGGTGAGGCCCCGGGGCAGGGGCAGGCAGCTGCGGCAGCCTGGGTGGGGGGGGCGGCGGGAGCAGGCCTGGCCACCGGGACCCCAGGGGGAGGGCGTGCCTGCTGCCTGGCACTGCTTCCTGTGGCCACGGATTGGGTCTGGCCTCTGCCCTCGCTCAGGGGCAGCCTGGGTGGGCGCTCAGGCCTCCTTGTCCTTACGGCCTTCCGGATTCCGCCTTCAGGTTTTCGGCCATGAGCTTCATTTGCTGTTGAGAGAACAGAGGACACTGGGTGAGCCACGCGCGCTTGAGTGGTGGCCCCTGGGTGGCTGGTGGCACCAGCGGCAGTGGTGCTCCTGGAGCTCCATCAGAGCGCCTCTGAACCCACAGGAGCCAGAGCTCTGATGCAGCCTGAGGCTTCCGGAGCGTGCAGAGCCTCGGCTTGACCCTGACGAGATGGGAGCCAGAAGGCGTGGGGTGGGAACGTGGCGTGGAGCCAGCACGGTGGGGGTTCTTCCGATCTGGAAATGAGCAGCAGCTGGAATCTCCCTCCCCCGGACCTCCCGGGCCCCCAGCACACGAGGGGCAGGGACGGGACAGAGCAGGGGGCCCGAGCACGGACACGGGGCCAAGTCCGTGTTCTGTCCCTGTAAACTGGGCGACCCTGCAGATTTGACGTCTCTGAGCCGTTGTTTCCACATCTGCGCGGGGAGAGTCCTGGTGCTGATTTGCAGGGTGGCCGTGGGGGCCACTGTGCGTGAAACCCCTGGCCCCGAGAGATGTGCCAAAACAGTGGATGTTTCTAGGGGCCTCTGTCCCTGCAGACACAGGACCCCCTGCCCCCCCCCCACGCCACCCAGTGTCACTGGGGGCATCCTGTGAAATCCCCCCGAGGGCCGGGCCATGGTGGGGGTGGGCCTGCTGCTCCCCATCCTGGTCCCCCCCCCCCACCGGCTCCCAGGCCCTGTCCCGGGGGTGCTGGAAAACATCACCATGGCTCCGCCTTGTTTGTTGAAAAAATGAATAACTCCTTTGGAATTTGGCTTAAGATACACACGCTGATTTTTGACAACCGTTACTTACTTAGGGGAAAACAAGACTGCACACGACGGCGCTGGTGCCCCAGGCACCTGGCTGCCCCTCCTGGAAGCCCCTGGTGGCACACGGGGCCGGACATGACAGCACGCTCCCTCCGGCTTTCAGGGACAGGAGCCCCTTTTGTGGACTCTCATCGAACTCTCGGTCTCCTGCTTCAGCCCCATCTCCCCTTGAAGGATCCTGTAGATCCGTGGCACCTCAGGAGGCCGCCGCTCACTCCACACCTTCTCTGAGCCTGGCCTGTCGTCTACGGGGGGCACAGCGATGGGAGCCCGGGGCTGCTGCTCCCCCCGTGCGGGCTGGGGAGGGGCCTGCCACGTGCTGGTTTGTCCACAGCAGGCTCGGGGCGGGGGCGGGGGGCTTCTGCGGGGCGAGGAGACCGTCTGCCTGCGTGGGACGCAGTGGGCCCACCTAGGGCAGGCCGTGGGCACAGGGGCGGACGGTGGCCTGGGCACCCACAGCTGCAGTGTCTAGACAGCCTCCGGCCTGATGGGGGGATGGTGACGGTCTGATTCAGTTCACAGACCTGGAGAAGCAGGACTGCAGGCCACGCGAGTCTCCCAGAAGCCGTGTCCTTTCTACTCCCTGTTCTCTTAGGGGCCCACTCGGCCCGTTAACTGCTGATGTCACACACCCTCCCCCAGGAGAGCCGTGGCCCAGAGTTGTAGACGCTTCCAGCTGATGTCTTCTAATACTTAGGAGACCTTCTTAAAGTGTCTTTTTATGAGAGACCATGAATCTTTTTTCTGATTTGACAAGTAACCAGTAAGAAACGAAAGGCTACATAAATTTAACTAAACTACAACTATAATGAGGATAAAACACTCCCTAGCTTGTCAGAGAATCTTCTAGCATGCTTCCCCAGGACTCCATACGGGGAGGAAGTTCAAAATGGGCTTTAATCCAGAGGAGCCTCTGAGGCTCCCTGCAGGGTGCAGGCTGCTCCCCATTTGTGTGTGTGTGTGTGTGTTTGTGTGTGTGTCTCTGCCGCTGGGAGCCCTTGCCTGCAGGGGTGTCTGCAGATCTCCCAGGCTGCTCCCCATTTGTGTGTGTGTGTGTGTGTGTGTGTGTGTGTGTGTGCGCGTGTGTGTGTGTCTCTGCCGCTGGGAGCCCTTGCCTGCAGGGGTGTCTGCAGATCTCCCAGGTGGGGTCCCCCCACTCTGCAGCCGGGCTGAGGGTTCTGTCTGACGTGCCCTCTCCCCTCAACGACCCAGCTTTAAGTGACTTTCCTCTCAGGCCCGAGGTGGGAAGCTCACTCAGGCCAGGGAGGGACTTACCTCCCCCCCACCCCGCACCTGCCCTGCTCAGGGTGGCCTGGCTCCTGGGCACAGGGATGTCCAGGGGGTCCCGGGCGATCTGCACTGAGCTGCAGAGGTAGGCAATGGCTGGCGCCCCCACTGTCCTCGCCTGCTCAGCTGAGGCAGGGGGAGCACCTGTCGCTATGCAGAGGGGTGACTGGGCCCCTGCAGCCCTTCCCCTGTGCGGCGGCTCCCTCGGGGCCTGATCTGCCTCATGGAGCTTTGTGACCCCGCGGGAGACGTGGCCCACAGTGGGCGGGAGGGCTGGTGCCCCCCAGACCTTTGCCGGCACAGTGCTGAGCGCCTGGCCGTGGGGGGCTCGGGCTCGGCTGTCTCCCTGCACCGCCCGTCCTCCCTGCTGGACGTGCTGAGCCGGTGCCAGGACCAGGGCGCCACCGCCATGGCCGAAGCCCGCAGAGACGCCAGCAGCTCAGAAGAAACAAGCTGCAGTGGCCCGCCTGCCAGAGATGGCGGGTTAAACTGGTTTTGAGGTCAGTGAGCAACACCCAAATCCTCCCCGTGCAAACACGTCGGCCGCCATCTTCCTCCCAAAAGAGTAAGAAGCTACTGGGCCTTGAGATGGCTTCTCTCACGTCCCGGTCCGGGTTCCCGCTGCTGTCATGAACTTGTAACAGAACCTCTACCCCACAGTCCTGGTGAGGAGGAGCCAAGAGGCTGAGCCCCCGCCCACAGCCTCCCCTGCACGGGGGGGGGGTGGGGGGGGTGGGGGGGTGGCATGAGCGTTGGCAGACTGAACTCTGCACAGACAACCTAATCTGAAAGAATCTTGATGATCATTCAGTCCTGTGGCCGCTTACAGGTCTGGAGTCTCTCAAGTGCAGATTCATAGGCCCCTCCCTGAGCCGCTAACTCGCTGGTCTGTAGTGGGGCCCGGGTCTCTGAAGTTTCCCCCTAGACTTTCCCAGACTGGGCATCTCTGATTTGTTGACTGCCACCTTTCACAGGTCAGCAGCTGGAGTGGAGGGGGTATGGGTGGGACCCTTCTAGGCCCCGCTGTGGGCTCAGGCTGAGTCCCAGAGCAGCACCCAGCCCGTGCTGGCCCCTCTGGGCACCAGGCTGCCTCCTGTAGCGATGTACACCCTCCCCACCCCACCCCCACCGCCCCACCGCTTCTTTGCCTGGGGGGAGGGGTTTGGGAAGGAGCAGCATTATTCCTTTTTTAAAAAAAAACTGGCTTCTTTAGGGATTCTTTTTTTTTTTTTTTTAAATGTTTTATTTGTTTCTAGGAGACAGAGAGAGACAGCGTGAGCAGGAGAGGGTCAGAGAGAGAGGGAGTCACAGACCGAAACAGGCTCCAGGCTCCGAGCTGGCAGCCAGCACAGAGCCCGACGCGGGGCCCGAACCCACGAATCGCGAGATCACGACCCAAGCGAAAGTCGGACGCCCAACCGACCAAGCCACCCAGGCGCCCCTTCTTTAGGGATTCTTAAATTAAAACCTTATTAAGAATATAAGCAGGATAATAGTGCTTTCTTCCCCACAAGAAGCATCAGAATGAAGAGAATGAAATCTTCCCTAATTCATGACTCATTAAAGCACTCATGCTCCAAGATAACTCTTTAAAAAGCACGGACTGACTTCTTGCATCATTATTAGTGATGTAATAAGAGGAACCTGATCACTGAGCATGTAGTCCAAGTGCATAGCTTCACATGAGGAAGGACGCACAACTGGCCCCTCTTCCCTGCGGAGAAGTACAGAGGTGCTTTCTGAGGCCCCTCGCCCCCTGGGCTTGTGGCAGAGACTCTGAGACTCTGGCGGAGCCCACGACTGGCTTCAGGATGTCTCTGTTCACAGCGCTCAGAAATCACAACCGGCGGATTCCCTTCTGGCCCAGCGTGAAATCTGTCGGCAGCTACTCCATCCCCGTTCCGCACAGAGGCCTATTTGGGCAGCTCCCGGCTGAAGGGCAGAAAGGGCCTGTGCGTTTGTCTCTTCCTGTTTCCCTTCTCCTAGGTTCTGGACTACCCCCAGGTCACTTGGCCCAGAGGCGCTGTCGGTCACCATCACCCTCCGCTGTAATTCCTGCACTCCACTCACACCAGCTGGTTTTGTCCATGTTTATGTGCAGGTTTTTCCTGCTTCAATATTTTACCCACCTCGGGTGTCCTCTGGAGAGGGCACCACCCTGCTCTCTGCCCCCAGGGGCCCGCATCACAGTGCTGTGAGCAGGAGCCCACTCTGCATAAACGTCTGTGGAAGAGGACCACAGCCCAGGGACCACAGCCTGGAGCCCGGGGACCACAGCAGCCACCAGGGAGCTTAGAGTTCAGCCTGTGCCAACATGACGACAGTGAACTGGTAAGTAAACTGCAGTACTGGGGTATGTAAATGAGACACACATTCTCAGACCACAAAGCCGTTGGTCACATGGATGAGATCACGGAAAAGACCCAAGAGTGTGAGCTTTGTGTCAGAAAGTCCACGATTCTGGAGGCCTAGTTACCTGCACTGGTAGCAGTGCAGGTCTGGGCCCCTCAGGATCAGGACTCAGTGGGGACGGGAATCTCAGCTCCCCCGGAGCCAGCTGGGGGAGGTGGCGGGGGGAGGAAACTCAGGGGACACCAAGAAGGTCGCCAAATTACCAGCTTCATCCCAGCTGGAAACTAAGATTCCTCCCAGATCAAAGCCCAGCTCCAAAGAGCCCCCCGCCCAGTTCCCCCGACAGGCAAGATGCCGGGGGCTGGGGTGGGGGTGGTAGGCGGACACCAGTCCGTTAACTGATAAGCCAACCCTGCAGAGGGCAAAGTCAGTTTAACTTAAAAACACGTTTGTTTGTTTTTTTTTAAATCTACTTCTGAATCGTTTGGGTCCTACTTTCTCTGAATAATTGCGCTTCAGAGCTAAATT